ACTAGAGGTGCTAGTTCTGGGGGTGCTGGAGTTGGAGGTGCTGGCGCTGGCGGTGCTAGTTCTGGGGGAGCTGAGTCTGAGGAGACTGACGCTGGAGGCCCTGGTTCTGCGGAGTCCACTCCGCCTCCCCACCGCCACGACACGCGTCTCCAGGCTGCCCGTCGGCGTGAGCGTGAGGAGCAGGAGCGGCTGGAGAGGGAGCGGCAGGAGCTGCGGGTGCTGGACCTTCTGGAGCAGCAGCGCCAGCAGCAGCAGCAGCAGCAGCAGCAGCAGCAGCAGCAGCAGCAGCAGCAGCAGCAGCAGCAGCAGCAGCAGCAGCCGCAGCAGCAGCAGCCGCAGCCGCCGCCGCAGCCGCAGCAGCAGCAGCAGCAGCCGCCTCCGCAGCTTCCTCTTGAGCGGCAGTTGTTCCCACCTGTGAGTGGCCTGCGGGCCCTTGGCCTTTCCTCCTCTCCTCCTGTCCGCTCCCAGTCTCCTCCTGTGTTTGTTTCTCCGTTGCCTCCTCCTGACGACCGTCCGGCGGTCTGGTCTTCTCCTCCTCCACAGTCTCCTCCTCCTTCTGTCCGTCGCGACTTGGTCACCCGTTGTTCGCCGCGTGCTCGTCACTCGTCCCCTGTTACTGACCTCCACACTGCCCTCCTTTGTTCGTCTCGTCGTCGTTCTCCTTCTCCTGAGTCCGTTCTCCCGTCTCCTCCTCCGTCCTCTCTCCCTTCCCTCCCCACTCCTATCACCGACTACTACCGCGCTGTTCGTCCTGTTGCCGCACGTGTCCTCGCCACTCTTGTCACCGACTCTCGTTTCCCTCCGTCGTCGGTCTCTGCTCTCACTGCCGCTGTCGCTGAGTTTGCTGCCGCCAGCCGCCTTGACTACGCCACCCGTGTGGTGCCAGCTCCTCCCTACCGTCCTCTGTCCGTCGGGGGTGAGTTTGCCCTTGGCTGTGACGTCCTAGAGGACAGAGAGTCTGAGCTGGAGTACTGGGCAGCCGCTTCTCCCTCTGTGTGTGCCATGCTGCTCTCCCCTGAGGGAGACCCCGACGCCCTTGACATACCGACTCCTCGCACTTACCGCGAGGCAGTGTCAGGGGCGTGGGCCTCTCAGTGGAAAGCGGCTATGGACTCAGAGTTGGCGTCTTGGAGATCCACAGGCACCTACGTCGACGCAATCCCCCTCCCAGGGCGAACGTAGTCGATGGCATGTGGCTCTTCAAGGTGAAGCGGCCGCCTGGAGCACCGCCGGTGTTCAAGGCGCGCTACGTGGCTAGGGGCTTCAGTCAGCGTGAGGGAGTTGACTTCTTCCAGACCTTCGCCCCGACCCCGAAGATGACTACTCTTCGGGTATTACTCCACATAGCAGCGCAGCGAGACTACGAGCTGCACTCCCTCGACTTCTCCACTGCGTTCCTCCAGGGCCGACTGCACGAGGAGATCTGGCTGCGCCATCCTCCTGGTTTCACTGACACCTTCCCACCAGGGACCCAGTGGAGCCTGAGGCGACCAGTCTACGGTCTCCGCCAGTCGCCCCGTGAGTGGCACGACACTCTTCGCTCCACGCTTCGTGACCTTGGGTTCAGCCCGTCCTCCGCCGACCCGTCGCTGTTTGTTCGAGCGGGTTCTACTCCTTTCTTTATCCTTGTCTACGTCGACGACTTGGTGTTTGCTACAGCAGACAGGGCAGCCCTGGCTCAGGTGAAGTTCGAACTGCAGAAGAGACACAAGTGCACTGACCTGGGTGAGCTGCAGCGTTACCTTGGCTTGCAGATCACCCAGGACAGAGCCGCTCGCACCATCACACTGACGCAGTCACACATGGTGCAGCAGGTCCTTCGGCGGTTCGACTTCCAGTTCTCCACCACACAGCCCACTCCTCTTGCTGTTGACCACAGACTCACTGGCCCCTTTCCCGACGAGCCTTTTGAGTCCAGTGGTCCCTACGCAGAGCTGGTGGGCTGCCTCATGTACCTGATGACTTGTACTCGCCCGGACCTCGCCTTTCCTCTCAGCGTCCTCTCTCGCTTTGTTGCGACTGGGAGACACCGTCCTGTCCACTGGACAGCTGCTGTGAGGGTGGCGAAGTACCTGGCGACTACATCAGGCATGGGGCTTGTGCTTGGAGGGACTCAGCCAGTGGCGTTGACTGGGCACTGCGACTCTTCCTACGCTGACGACGTGGAGACTCAGCGTTCGACTCAGGGTTACTGCTTCAGTCTGGGAGCTGGTGCTGTGTCGTGGAGGTCTACTCGGTCGTCGTCTGTGGCTACTTCCAGTGCAGAGGCAGAGATCTACGCTGGTGCCATGGCGGCACAGGAGCTTCGTTGGTTGACCTTCTTGCTCACCGACCTTGGTGAGCGGCCTCGTTCTGCACCGACCTTGTACGCTGACAACAAGGCCATGATCCTCCTGTGTCGAGAGCCGCGACTGGAGAGCAGAGTAAAGCATATTGACGTGAGGTACTTCCTCCTGCGAGAGCTGCAGCGACGCGGCCAGGCACGCCTGGACTTTGTGGCCTCAGAGGCCAACACTGCAGACGTCTTCACCAAGGCCTTGGCGCCTGGTGATCACCACAGGTTCTGTGTGCAGTTGGGGCTTGTTGAGGTAGGCCCCCGGTTGCTGTAGTCTTGTTGCTTGCTCTGCTTGTTGTGTTTTCATATTTATATCCTAGTGAACTGTTGAACTGGCCTTGTGGCCACTTGCTTGTGCTCGGAATTTGTGTGGTGTCCTTGAGCTCCACCCTGAGCTTGTCTTGCCTTGACTGGTCTTGTGACCGTTTGTTTTCACCTTGCTTGCCCTGGTGTCCCTCACTTAGCCTATGGGGGTGTGTCAAATGTTAATGTTATGATAGGCTGCAGTGAGGCACTCCCTAAAGGGTACAACATTTGTAGGACTCCTATTTGTATGCTTGCAAACCCTAATTCCAATCATTCCGTTGCATGTAGACTTTGAGACCCTACACTAAGTTCCCCACTCCTTTCTTATGTTCCCCGCCATAAATCAATGATGTTATCGCAATGACGTGGGTGTCGACAACGATTGACGCTAGGTTTCAGGATTTGGTTTTGAAGATGAGCAAAAAGAGCAGCGACAGGGTGAAGGGGAATAAAAATCGAGCACGGGCATATGACTAGCAACGTGGTCGGTATGGTGGAACCCAGGGTTGTGTGATTAGGGCTATGTATTTAGTCAATACTGTTGTAAGTACTCCATTTGTACAACGTTGCAAAGTGTTTATGGCTTGAAGGCCTTCAATGTTCAAAAGTCATACACAGTAGGGCTGCCACGCATTTGGGAGTGTCTGCAAGTATAATATACCACAAACCGAACCTGTCAACTATGCTGGGAGCTGCCGCACGTCCAACTTGCTGCAATTGCATGCCTGGCGTGGTGTGCAGCAGAGGAGAGCAATGCAGTGTGGGATGCTTGGTGGACCTGCCAGTGAGGGGAGTGCCATTGCTTGGTCAGAGGCGCTTATCACCTATACCACCACCACCATCCGAAGCAGCCCCATTTCCACCTCCACCTGCCCCCAGGCCAGCAGCAGCAGAAGCGGATGCGGAGTGGACGTGCAACCCTTCCAGTGCTGCCATGTGTGCCGCACAAAAGTCGGCAGGCGAAACCGAGCCAATCATGCCTGCCCTGTGACGGGTCGTGCACGCAAGCTTAGCCGCTAGCAGCTGGGAGGAAGACACGGGGGTGGTTGGGTTGGGAGAATGGAAAGGGGGTAAGTAGGCAGAAACAGTGAGAAAAGAAAAGGGAGGAGGGTCTAGTGAGACTCGGCGGGGTGAGTATGGTATGAGGAAGAATGGGGCGGGGCTGGGGGACCGAGGAGATGAGAAGAGGAGGATGGTTTGCATGGGGGATGGGGGTGAGAGCGGGCCTGAAGGATTGAACCAGCATACCATTGGGCTGGTTGTAAGGAGGGTCGTGAAACGGTCCGAGGAGGATGGGAGAATGAAAAGGGGGACCTTGACATGCAAATGCAGCTCTTGTATGCTTTGATAGAGTAGAACAATCACACGCTGGTCAATGCTACGATTTGCCACTAACCACCCTATGCACTCCACCATGCATGCCATCACCCACACCCCCATGCACATCACCATACGTTCCACCCCGCACACCACCATGCATGCCACCACGCACCCCTTCATGCTCACCACCACGCATGCCTCCACGCACCCCTTCATGCTCACTCCCAAACTCACGGCCAGTAGACGAACCGCCACTGGCCCCCTTCTGATTGCGGTGGGCCCGCCCATAGGATGAGGCGAACATACCGCATGGGAGAGGGTTGGCTAGCGATGGCATGATGACGGGAGAGGGTGGGCTTGCAGGGGGATACTGTGTGCATGATGAGGGGGGAGTGAGGCCTAGCAAGGGGTATACTAATAGCAAGGGCCATGGGGCTAGCACGCGGGAAACATGGCGCTAGCAGCCTCGTGCAAAACATGGGGCTAACACGGAGGTAACATGGGGCCAGAGATGGGGGAAAACGTGGGGCATGCAGCGGACAACATGGGGCCTGCAGGGGGAATCTTTGGGATAGCGTGGGGGAATCATGGGAGCAAAGCTTGCGGGTAAAGATGAGGGGAGCATGGGATGGAAAACGGGGCGAGCATGTAGGCATGGAAGTGAGGAGTGCGGCGAGCATTCGGGGAGGTTTTTTCTCTCCTTTCCCTCACATGCAGGGGGCATGCACAGCAGGGCACCCAGCAGGCGACTTTTGAGTAAATTGGTGAAGTCACCTGTGCAGCGTGCAATGCACCCACCAGGCGGGGTTGGCAGCAAGGGGCAGATCAGCGAGGAGAGCAGCCCAAATGGCCAACGGGTCTAGAGACACCAGGCGATTGAGCGGCGCCAGTTGGCCATCCAGTCGGATCTTAGCGCTCCACACGCCAAGATGAGCAGCGATGCACCCACCGCCCAGTCTGGGAAGGGAGGGGGACAAAGGGAAACGTAGATGTGACGAGGAAAGGCAAGTAGGATTGTGCGGGCCGATAGGTTCCCATGCTAGTGAGCACTCCACACGCTACTGAGAGCAGCGATGCACTCACCACCCAACCATGGGAGGGAAGGAGAGGGAGGCCCGCGAGGATGTGACCTGCGAATGTGCGTAAGAGTGTGGTGACAGGGTGGTTCCTTTGCTGGCGTGCACTCCACACAATGCTGTTCGCCCGATGCCGTCACCACGGCGCCTTGGAAGGGAAGGGGAGGGAGAGAAAAGAGGATGTGAGTGGCGAAGGCGAGTAAGAGTGTTCTAGAAGGGAGGTCCCTTTGCTGGTGAGCACTCCTCACGTTGCTGTGAGCAGCGATGCACTCACCACCCAACATTGGAAGGGCAGGGGAGAGTGTGGTCAGGCACGTGGTTCCCTTGCTGGTGAGCACTCCATACGTTGTTGTGCGCAGCGATGCACTCACCTTGACACCTTGGAAGGGAAGGGTAGGGTGGGAAAAGAGGATGTGACAAGCGAAGGTGAGTAAGAGTATGCGGGCTGAGTGGTTCCTTTGCTGGTGAGCACTTTCCATGCTGCTGTGAGCAGCGATGCACTCATAACCCAGCCTTGGAAACATGAGGCTAGCATGGGGGAAACATGGGGCTATCACGGGGGGGATATGGGGCTATCAGGCGGGAGAAATGGGTCTGACATGGGGGGAACAGGGGGCCTGCAGGAGGAAACAGGGGGCACGCTGGGGGAAACAGGGGGCCTGCAGGGGGAAACATGGGGCCTGCAGAGGGAAGCATGGGGCCTGATGGGGGGAAGCATGGGGCCTGATGGGGGGGAGCATGGGGCCTGATGGGGGGGAAACATGGGGCCTGATGGGGGGAAGCATGGGGCCTGATGGGGGGGAAACATGGGGCCTGATGGGGGGAAGCATGGGGCCTCGTGTCTGGAAGCATGGGGCCTGATGGGGGGATGCATGGGGCCTGATGGGGGGAAACATGGGGCCTGATGGGGGGGAGCATGGGGCCTGATGGGGGGGAAACATGGGGCCTGATGGGGGAAGCATGGGGCCTCGTGTCTGGAAGCATGGGGCCTGATGGGGGGAAGCATGGGGCCTGATGGGGGGAAGCATGGGGCCTGATGGGGGGAAGCATGGGGCCTGATGGGGGGGAGCATGGGGCCTGATGGGGGGGAAACATGGGGCCTGATGGGGGGAAGCATGGGGCCTGATGGGGGGGAAACATGGGGCCTGATGGGGGGAAGCATGGGGCCTCGTGTCTGGAAGCATGGGGCCTGATGGGGGGATGCATGGGGCCTGATGGGGGGGAGCATGGGGCCTGATGGGGGGAAGCATGGGGCCTGATGGGGGGATGCATGGGGCCTGATGGGGGGAAACATGGGGCCTCGTGTCTGGAAGCATGGGGCCTGATGGGGGGAAGCATGGGGCCTGATGGGGGGAAGCATGGGGCCTGATGGGGGGATGCATGGGGCCTGATGGGGGGGAGCATGGGGCCTGATGGGGGGGAAACATGGGGCCTGATGGGGGGAAGCATGGGGCCTGATGGGGGGGAAACATGGGGCCTCATGTGGGGAAGCATGGGGCCTCGTGTCTGGAAGCATGGGGCCTGATGGGGGGATGCATGGGGCCTGATGGGGGGGAGCATGGGGCCTGATGGGGGGAAGCATGGGGCCTGATGGGGGGATGCATGGGGCCTGATGGGGGGAAACATGGGGCCTCGTGTCTGGAAGCATGGGGCCTGATGGGGGGAAGCATGGGGCCTGATGGGGGGATGCATGGGGCCTGATGGGGGGAGCATGGGGCCTGATGGGGGAATGCAGAAGGGGGGATGCGCAAGGGGGATGGGGAAGGGGGGATGCGGAAGGGTGAACGCGAAAGGGTTACCGCGAGAGGGGGAACGCGGAAGGGGGAAGGCGGACGGCGGAATGCGGAAGGGGGTTGGCGGAAGGGGGAACGCTAAAGGGGGGTTGCGGAAGGGGGAATGTGGAAATGGGAACGCGGAAGGGGGAACGTGGAAGGGGCGGCGCGAAAGGGGGCCTACGGAAGGGGGAGAGCGGAACGGGGAATGCGGAATGGGGAATGCGGAATGGGGAATGCGGAATGGGGAATGCGGAATGGGGAATGCGGAATGGGGAATGCGGAATGGGGAATGCGGAATGGGGAATGCGGAATGGGGAATGCGGAATGGGGAATGCGGAATGGGGAATGCGGAATGGGGAATGCGGAATGGGGAATGCGGAATGGGGAATGCGGAATGGGGAATGCGTATGAGACGGCACGAATGCGTTTGGGGGCACGTGACGCAGCTCCCACCTCTTCTTATATGCGCAAAGACGGTGTGTCCCCTCGGAGAACACGATTCGTCACTGGTACCCACGCGCGCTATGAATATTACGAGCGCCCTTGCGGCGCGCGTTTTGCTTGCGTGCGCTGCTATCCTGAGCGCGAAATGCTGGAGCGTGCTATGCTGGATCGGGCGGAATGTTAGGGCGCGTGCGAGGCTAGAGGTGAGTGCGTCACGGTTACTAGAAAGGCTGCTGCTTGCGCGCGATTTTTCTACACGTTTCGCCCTTTTGGCTATTTGAATTCGTCCCGAACTCACGCGCCACTTTGTGTGTGGTCTGGTCGCGCTGCTGGCGTAGCACCTTCTAGCGCGCGCCGTGGTTGTTTCTTTCTGGAGTAGGTATTTGGCGCTTATTTTACTTGGTGTGTGAGAGTTAGTGGTGAGCTCGGTGGTGGCGAGGGCATTTTATCCATTCTGTGACTCACAACCAACCCCAATCTGGTTCCCTCACAACACAAGTGCATCTTGTTTTCGCCAACACTCTCGCTCCCCCCGGTTTTTTTCGTCTGGGCGAAATGGTGTTCCATCACTGTACAAACTGAACAGTAGCGCCAAATGTATACCGCTGCTTTAACGTTGTGATGCTGCCTGAGCGAATGTCTGCCAGAAGGCGAGGATCACGATAGCATTGTAACTATTTCGTCAAGCCTGAGGTCACATCCTTCCGCTCCCCTTTCCGTTCAGTGACGGCCACACAAGTCAAACGTGCAACCGTTGTTCTGGCACCAGCATGCGTTGTCAGGCTCGGCTCGGGTTCGGGTGTGGGAGAGGACATGGCGATTAGGATTGTGCGGTCGAGCGGCGAGCACGGAAGCTCATGAAACCGGCGGAGCGGTCGGGAAAAAGACTTGTGCCACCGCATTGCCTGGAAGTTCGGTTTCCGAGTCCTTGCAGTACAGGCCGTTGCGGTGTCGCGGGAACGTAGCGAAACAGAGAAGAGCGATTGGGATTCGCAATCATGAGAGCCGCAGAGTGAAGGAGCGCCAGCAGCGAAACGCCGTAGCATGGTGGGCGTGGAAGGAGTAGCAGCCTATGCCCATGCCCGGGGATGCGCGCAGCCTATTGGCGGCAGCTGCGCGTGTGACGAGGTGCGCAAGAGGTCCGCGAGAGGTGCGCAAGAGGCGCGCATTCCCGCGCCAGCGCCATGGGCGGCGCCCGCCACTCGCGGACGGATGCGCGAAACGCTGCTGCGGAGTGACGCGAGCTGCCTCGCCCCTCGCCGCGCGCACCGCACCCACTCTACCCGGTTAGGCGATTGGATGCAATCGCGCCCAAGGCCGGCTGGCTCTCGGTAGGCGATGGCAGCCAAACCCGGCGATGGCAGCCAAACCCGGCGATGAGATGAGCGCCCCGCTGCTACCCACTCTACCCACGCGTGCGTGCTCGCCTCGCCTGCGCGCGCCTGGGAAACGCGCTGCGCTGCCAACCTGCCCGCCGCCATTCGCTCCCGCCAGTAGCGTCCGGGAATCGCGCCTTGTGGGCTCACATGTGTGCGTGCGAGAGGCGGCAGCGTGAGTGCGAGAGGCAGAGGCGTGGCGGGTGCGGGTAAGGGGCGGCAAGGGGATGTGGCAGTCAACCGCGCTCACAGGCACCCACGCACTCCTCCCACTCCCCTCAATCACTTCTCCAACGCCCACTCCCCCCCTCTCATCTCGTTTCCTTCCAATTTGTGTGCATGTGGACATTCATGCAAGCACCCTGCCATTGCTCTCCCCCTTCTTTCCCGCTCCTTTCACACCCATTTACCCCCCTCTTTTCACCCACCTTTTCCCTGCTTATCTCCTCCATTCCCCTCCATTCATTTCGCGGCCCCCTCCTATCTACCTCCCTACCGTCCCCCTCTTTTCCCCTTCTTTCCGCCTCCTCCCCTTTTGCTTCCCTCTCCTTCCCCCCTCTTTGCCCACATTTCTTCCTCCCCTTCCTAACCCCCTCCAATTTCCCTCTTTCGCCTCCGTTCACTCTCCTTTCCTCTCACCTCCCCCTCATTTCCCCCTCCTTTCCCACACCGTTCCTCCTTCCATCCCCCCTCCTCCCCTTTCTCCCTCCTTTCCCCCCTCTTTCCTTCCCTTTCCCCCCTCGTATCCCCCTCCTTCCCCCTTCCCCCTCATTCACCCTTCAAACCTCGACCCTCGCCAGGCTCCATCGCTCCTCGAGCGTGCCTCCACTCTTCGCCTCCATTCTTCGCCTCGTCGTCACTATCCAGGAGGACCAGCGCGCCGTTGATCCGCCAGTCACCGTCTCGCCGCGCACTGATGGACCACCGCCTCACCACACCTGATCGACCCCACGTCGTTCCTCGACTCTCCGCTGTTCCGCCTGCGAGTGCGACCGTCGCACTGCTGGCTGGCCTCTAATGGGTCATCGGCGACGTGTCGCGCCGCTGTGGGGAGTGGGACAGCCCCCCTCCGTCTGATGTCGCCGCGCCGCGCCCTCCCGTCCCTCCATCGCTCTCGCTGGCCCTCTAGGATTTTGGCTTTATTTTTGGTGGATGGGCGTGCGTGCGTGCGTGCGTGCGTGCGTGCGTGCGTGCGTGCGTGCGTGCGTGCGTGCGTGCGCGTGCAGTATGCAGTATTCCCCATTCCTCCCCTTCCCCGTTCCTTCTCCCCCCCGCGTGCATCCCCATGCAGATAGGGCTGTGCACGATATGGGAGAAGTACCACGAGGAGGCGCATGCAGTGATCTACATGGGGCAACTGCGTGGGGCTGTGAACATCCTTCCCTCGCGTGGGGAATGTTGCTGCCTGCTCGTCTTACTGCTCTTATTCCTCGCAATAGAATAAGTCTATTGCGCTCTTGTAAAATGTGATGTGAATTGAGCTGAGAGAATCTCGGGGTGGTCCTGTTCCTGTTAACCAAAGTGTGATTGGAGCTAGAAAAATGTGTTCATCAGCTCTCTGTATTGCCTCCTCTCCCTCTGTCAAGCCTCACGACCACTCTCTTGTCTCCCTTTTGCCTCGTTCCCGTGCTTACCTACGTCTCCCATGCATCCCCATCCTCCCCTCCAGAGAAGGTGTTGAGACATGAAGACCAACTTTGGTTGTTGCCAACAAGCAGGTATGCGTGTGGTACTTGGTTCGAGAGAGGGGGGGAGGGGAGTGGCAAGGGTGGGAGGGAGGGTTGGAGGCATGGGAGAGGCGGGAGGCAGGGGAGCAGTGGAGGGTGGGAGAAGGATGCTTGACACCTCGAGGACTAACTACTAGCTATCGTAATCGTGGTGGTTACGAAGTTACCACAGTGAATGTTATGTGGGTAATTATCGAAAGAGATTATCGAGTGGGGGACCAATTTGCGAGTGTTGAGACATGAGGACCTGGTTGCAGCTCCCATCTTGATCTTCGCCAACAAGCAGGTGTGTGTGCACGGTGCTTGGTGGGAGAATTTGTTTTAGGCGCCTAAACAAATAGACATGAAGTCCTTGTTGGTGCTCCAATCTCAATGAGAAGAATGATGATCTTCAATCTCAATTTTCGCGAACAAGCAGTTATGTTTGCCTTGTGGGAGAAGTGGCGAGGGTTGGAAGACAGAATGATGACGGGGGGGGGGGGAGGGGGAAGTGGGATGGGATGAGTGTGACCTGCCCTGGGCAGTGGGCGAGGAGGACTTGACTCACTGCCTGGAGCTGAGGGACCTCAAGGGGCGCTCCGCCATGGTCATGCCCGTGTGCGCCCTGATGGGTGCTTGGGGGGGGGGGGGGGGGGGGGAGGGGGAAGGGGAGGGGAAAAAAAGGGGAGGACGGGATGGGAGGGGGCGAGGGGTGCTCAAGTGACCCCATGGGTCGCTCAGGGTTGCGGTGTGATAACAGATGAGCATATGATGTGTGAGCGAGGTGATGTGGGTGGGGGAAGAGTTGAAGGTGTGGGAACAGCTGAGGGTGTTTGGGCTATGCATGTGGTTGTTACGAAGGGATTGGAATGGAGATGGGGACCTTAAGAGGAGAAGGCCTGAGTGGTTCTTTTTGCACTGTGAGTTTCCTGTGATGCATGCAGTTTGACAGAAGATCGAGTTGTCGTATTGTTGGCGACTATTGTGGGGGTGTTTCTTGACTGCCCTGGAACTAGGCAGTGGCTGCGAACGTATGTGCATGCCTGTGTGTGTCTGCTCGTGTGTGTCTGCTCGTCTGTGTCTGCTCGTGTGTGTCTGCTCGTGTGTGTCTGCTCGTGTGTGTCTGCTCGTGTGTGTCTGCTCGTGTGTGTCTGCCCGTGTGTGTCTGCTCGTGTGTGTCTGCTCGTGTGTGTCTGCTCGTGTGTGTCTGCTCGTGTGTGTCTGCTCGTGTGTGTCTGTGTGTTCGTGTCGAGGGAGAGTGTGTCTGACTGTGTGTCTGTTCTTACAACCATCTGTGCATGGCAATGTGTGAGCAGCACGGGGGTGAGGGAGGGAGTGACGTGGCTGGTGGAGGCAATGAGGAAGAGCCAACGAGCAGACCTCATCAAGCAACGGGCCGATGCTGCTGCTGCCTTCTGATAGGAGCTCGGCGGGTGGGTGAGGGCATCTGATCTGATGTGATTTCGTATAGGGAAGGATGAGAGGGGAGGCTCGAAAGAGAAGGAACAGGAGGAGAAAGGTGATAGGATAATACTAGCCGTGAAACCTAGACTTAGTGGTGCTGCTCCTGTCAGCTGCTTGTGAAGGCAAGGATGTAGGTTCAGCGGTGCTAGATATGTGAGTGGTTGGTATGTGGCGAGAAGGAGGTGGTAGGACATGTGCAGCTATCAAGACAAATGATGCCTGGTCTCAACTTCCTAATACAGGTGTAGAACAAAGTAGCTGTATTATATGATTGGTGCTACTACATGACTACTAGATACAAAGGGAGGGAATGGCTTGACCATTGTGACCCAACTTGTGATAAGATTTTCCAGCTTAAAAAAAAAGAGGCACAAAGATGTTCCACCTTGAGTAAAAAACATGATTGGATGTAGATAATTGGTGTTTCAGATGTTAATATTTCACGAATTTGATATTGAGACATACTAGAGAGAGTACAGATTCATGTTTCCCCATCCCGAGTTCATCCCCCTCTGATAGTACTGAATTCGAAGCTCATCTCAATTGCCAGTATACCTAGACACTGCCGTCGGAGTCGCTTCAAAGTCGCTTCCCGCCATTTCGAAGCAGATGATCCACGAGTCCCAAAGCCGCCTCCGCCTTCGCTCAAGCAGACCGTCACGGGCAGCGGGGGAAGGAATGACAACCCTTACGCGTCGCAGCTCCTCCCCGCAAAATCTCTTAGCCAGCAGGTCTGGCCAGAATGGACCATCCACACCGTCAGCTAACGGCAAACCACCGGACTACACCGCTCTGTCAGGTTCCCGGGGGCCACGGCCAGATAGCTTCGGAAATAGCTTCGTTCATCTTGGCGTTTCGCGAAACCCCATGCATGATTCGTTTCTACCCGCTGCGTGAGTTCCCAGTGCAAATCGGTCAGCAAGTCCTTCCTGCACAATCGCTTAGCCAGCAGGTTTGTTTCGAAAGTGCGAGCCTCACCGTCTGGTCAAGGCAAGCAACCGGACTGAACCGATCTGTCACATCTCCGGAGGCCTCGGCCAGAGGCTTGGCACTGCCTCGGAAATGGCTTCGTTCCCAAGCCGTCCCGCATACCGACAGCGCACAGATTCGTTCCGCCTTTTCCTGCCCGCTGCGTGAGTTCCCAGTGCGTCGGCTCTCCTCCATCCCGCCTTGTCGCAGCAACCCTCTCGCTCTCCCCCCGTCGCCTGCGATCGCCTCTGCGAGTTCAAATCCGCACTCCCTCTACTCACCCTCATTCATCGCTCTAAGTTTCAACTCTCCAGCTGATCTTAATCGCCAGTTTCGTGCTCTCTCGTTGCTCTCCTGCCGGCTCCCACAGCTGCAGCATTACTATTCTTGCCAAATCAGTACATCCTAAGCTTTCAGCTGTCTCCGGATTCTCTCTTCGGTACTTCTAGCTTTGCACCCGAGGCTGCAACAGCAACCAGTGCATTTTCAAGGTTCGTCCCTGCTAATTCCGCTGCTCGGTTTCGGCCTCACACTTCGGCAGGCCCGTCGGTATCCTCTGTTTAGCGTTCTTCCTCGGATGGCCGTCGCGTCCGTGCGTGCATGCACCTCGTCGTCCGCTGAGTACCCGTCGTTCGCGGAAGCGCTGCGCGCCTGGAGGAGCCGCGAAGCGGTTAAGCCGTCCCGCGCGCAAGTTGAAGTGCCGCTGAGCTGCGCGATTGCATGTGCGGTGCCTTGTGAGCCAACTGTTGAAGTTGAAGCGATTGTTGAAGTTGAAGCGACTTCCCAGGCGATTCCCGAGGAGATCTCGACTTGTGAATCGACCCAGCTGCAAGTGACGCTGAGCTCCGCGCCTGCTGCAGAGGAGGAGGAGACGGAGGCGGATCTGAAGAGTGACTGCGACCAAACGAGCGCTGGCAGCAGCGACAGCAAGGACACCGTTTCTGTCAGCTTTTCTGTCAGCAAGAGCAACGTCACGAGTTGTGAGAAGCACGTGAGGATGTGCAGTGGTGACGCGAGCCCCAACGCACTGCCAGCCTCGCTTGTGCTGCTGCTGCACTCGCTGCTGTTGTTGCTGCAGCTGCACTTGCTGCTCGCGTCACTGCTGCTGCCGCTGCTGAGAGTGGTGCTGCCCTGGTGGATTCCCAAGGCAGGCAGCACAGGAGCGCGTGTGAAGGTGGATGGTGTGGATGGGAAGGCATGGAATGCACGTGGGGGTGCTCTAGCCCACCAGAAGCCCACAGCAAGCAGCATGAGGCAGCAGCAGGAGAGAGAGCACGCTGTGAAGTGCAGGGGGAGGAGGAACGCAGGCAGCACCACCAAGGCAGCAGCAAGACTTTCCTGGAGGTCTTGAAGCTGCTGGCACCACAGAAGCAAGCAGAGGGTGATATTTATCTGTGGAAGTACAGAACAGAAACGTCTCCTATAGCTAGTTGGGTGTGTCTCTTGGATTGCTAGCTCTGTGCAATCTTGTAATATATACTAGGTGCAGTAACGAATGTGTATATTCGCTGTCGAATTCCTAGACGATTGTACATTCTAGCTTCCAGTGCGCACTAACCCTGAAGGCATAAGCTGTATACAGAATGCATACATACTGATCCTAATTAGTGTAAGGATGGTGTTGAAGGATAATCCACATTGATGCCTGCACTCAATAACGAGCATTTTCTATCGGCGTGCGAGGTGCAGTTTCCGCTGTGAGTGAAAGACACGCGCCCTAATCTTCGGTTTCGCACTCATTGTTGCAACACATGCAAATACGCAACGACGACTGGCCAAGAGCGATCATGGCTGGATAATGCCGACTTGTATGTTCCGATCGACGATCGCCTTGCTGGGTCTAATAGTAGCTGCCGAGCTGGAAGCGAGAGGCTATGGGGAGCAACGCTAGTCATTAGGTCGAAATCTTTACCCAGAAACTTCTCTCTTGGACATGGCGTTCAGAGTTGGGTCGGGAAGGATTTGCCGAGAACTTGAACGAGGCAGATGTCAGGGTAACTATTCACTTCTGTGTGTCTGATGAGCTTCAGTGCGTTGTATTCTGGTTCGGTAGCCGTTAGTCCTGAGGGAGCTTTGTTTGCGTGCTGCGCAGATTCAACGCCCACGAAGTCGCGAGATGCGGCATCTGCTGAGGGGATGAAAGGCGGCGAAAGAAGCGCATCTGAGCACCCGTGAGTTGAGTTGCCCTGCTCTCCTCCCAAGGCCGTTTGCTGAGGCGGCGAAAGGTGGTGAAAGCAGCTGAGGCGGTGAGAATGGGGGAGAAGGAAGAGGAGTGCTGACTGTGAGGGTTGTGCTCATCATATGCGTCCTGCGCGGCCAGGTGCGAGTGACCTGGGAAGAGGGAAGTGGGAGAGCGAGTGGCGGATGTGTTTGGCGTGTGGGCTGAGAGCGAGGGTGGAAGTGGGTAAGGGGTAAGAGCTGACAAGGGAAGAGAGGGGAGAGAGAGGGAGGGGGAGAAGGGTGGTGGGAGGAGAGTAGGGGAGTCCTGGATACATTATCTCCACAACAGGCCGTTTTACAGAGCATAATATTCTTTTCAACCTATTCTCCCCCCCCCACCCTTCCCCTCCGCCTCCCCCTCCCCCCCCCCAATCATTCTCCCTTCCTCGATCATTCCCCGTTCCTCCTTCCCTGTGCCTTCCCCCCCGTCCCCATGCAGCCCCCCTATGCAGATGGGGCTGCGCACGATATGGGAGAAGCACTACGAGGAGGGACCTGGTCGGCCAGGTGTGCGGGTGAGAGGGGGAGGGGATGGATGGGGGGCGGGAAAGTGGAGAGCGAGGATGGGTGGAGTGCAGATTGGGGAGTGGAGATCGAGGGAGGGTGGAGAGGAGGGGGGGAGGGGGATCAGGGAGAAGGAAGAGGCATGCTGAATGTGGGCGGTTGTGCTCGTCTTCCCCTTCCCCTTCCCTCCCCCATCCCTTCCCCTTCCCTCCCCCGTTCCTTCCCCTTCCCTCCCCTGTGCCTTCCCCTTCCCTCTCCTGTCCCTTCCCCTTCCCTCCCCCATCCCTTCCCCTTCCCTCCCCTGTCCTTCCCCTTCCCTCCCCTGTCCCTTCCCCTTCCCTCCCCTGTCCCTTCCCCTTCCCTCCCCCATCCCTTTCCTTTCCCTCCCCCATCCCTTCCCCTCCGCTCCCCTGTGCCTTCTCCTTGCCTCCCCTATGCCTTCCCCCCGCGCGTCCATGCAGGTAGGGCTGCTCTGCTGGGGAGTTGATCTATGTGGTGGACGCTGCCTGCTCCGAGAGGATGCAGATTCGACGATGCTCGGTCAGTGCTTGTCTGCTGGGGAGAGTCTGGGGTGTGTGTCGGGTGTTGCTGGGGAGTTGTTGGGACAGAGGGGGTGCGACTGTGCTGCAGTGCATTCGGATGGGAAAAGAAGTGAAGGCGGGTGAGGGAGATTGGGCGTGTTTGCGTGCGTGCGTAAGTGTGTGCGTGCGTGCGTTCGAGCGTGCGTGAGTGCGTGCGTGCGTGCGTGCGTGCGTGTGTGTGTGTGTGTGTGTGTGTGTGTGTCTGTGTCTGTGTGTGTGTGTGTGTGTGTGTGTGTGTGTGTGTGTGTGTGTGTGTGTGTGTGTGTGTGTGTGTGTGTGATCCACATGCACGCAAGAAGAGTCGGTGGAAGGGGTTCGTAGGGGTAACTAGCAGCTTAAGGGAATGCTGCTGCCTCAACTCTTCTCCTATTCATCTTTACCCCAACATGGTGTAGCAGAATACATCTATTTCTTCGGTAAAAGGCAGCATGCATCCAACATAGAGTATCTCAAATCTTGATTTTCGCAAACAAGCAGGTGTGTGCGTACAATGGGTAGGCATGGCAGAGGTGGGAGGGAGGCATGGGGAAAGTGGAGGGCGGGAGAAGAAAGCTTGCGAGGTGCTGTAAGTCCGAATTAGAAGCTTTCACATTTTTGGTGGTTGGAAATTAACTGCAATGGATGTTGCTTTGGTAGTAAAGAGAGCAGGTAGAGTGTGGTGTAAGCTGTATCAAAGTCACGCTCCCTCCTGCAGCATCGTGCTGCGCAGGGTGTGAAGAGGGGGAGATGGGTTTGTGGAAGAGATGGATTGATGAGGGAATAACAACCCTCTCCTTCCACCTCTCTTGCCCACCTCATCCCACCTCCGCCTCCCACCTTCCCTGCCCTCCTCCCTATGCGTACTGCAAGGGACCCTCTACCAGAGGCAGTGGGTGTGGAGGGCTAGACTCACTGCCTGCAGCAGTTCCTTTCAGATGCCTGAAAATCTGCTGTACATCCTTTCACACGTCCATGTCTCACCTCCCTGCCTCACCCCCCTCACACATCCCTCCTCCCTTTTGCCTCCCTCTTCCACATCCCTAGCCCACCGCCCTTCCCCATCCCCGGCCGGTTGCCCCTGTGCATGCCCCACAGGACCTACCAGAGGCAGAGGGCGAGGAGGACTTGAAGCTCATCGGCACCTGTCTACGCATGTCTCACCTCCCTCTCCCACCTGCGTGTGACCACCACCCCACAGGACCTACCCAAGGCAGTGGGCGAGGAGGACTTGACTCACTGCCTGGAGTACACTCAGACGAGTTTATGTACCAACTCCCTTTGCCCACCTGCCCACCTGCCCACCTGCCCCTGTGACCGCCACCCCACAGGACCTGCCCTGGGCAGTGGGCGAGGAGGACTTGACTCACTGCCTGGAGCTGAGGGACCTCAAGGGGCGCTCCGCCATGGTCATGCCCGTGTGCGCCCATGATGGGTGCGATGGGGGGAGGGGGGGGAAACGTGGGGAAGGAGGGGGGGGAGGAGAGGGGGAAACGTGGGGAAGGAGGGAGGGGGGGTGGGAAGGGATGGAAGGGGGAAGGAGTGTCAAAGGACCTCGAGGGGTGCCCTGCCATGGTCATGCCCGTGTGTGCCTTTGATGGGTGAGATGGGGGCGGGAGGGGAGGGGGGAGGATAGGAGGAAAGGGGGAGGGGGAAAGGGAAGCAGGCTGGGCGCAAGTGGGGGGAAGGGGCTGGAAACGTGGAAAAGGGGGAAAAAGGGGGCGTCAGGGGGAGGAGACTGTGGTTGGCGGGCAATGCTGAGGGTGTGCTAGGGTTGGGGTGATAACATTGGGGTTGTGGTAACATTGGAGCGTATGATGTATAAGCGGGGTGATGTGGGTGGGGGAAGAGTTGAGATTGTAATTGTATGCATGTATGCCTGTGTGTGCCTGCATGTTCGTGTGTTGATGTGTGCGTGTGCCTGCGTGTGCATGCATATTTGTGTGTGAGAAAGAGGGAGTGTCTCTGACTGCATCCACAATCCTTTCTGAGAAAGAGGAAGTGTGCCTGACTGCATCCACAACCGTCTCTGACAACGAGGGAGTGCGTCTGACTGTGCATGCCTTTGTGTGTGCAGCACGGGGGTGTGTCTGACTGTGTGTCTGCCTTAACTACTGTGTGTCTGCCTTTGTGTGTGTATGGCAATTTGTGTGCAGCACGGGGGTGAGGGAGGGAGTGACGTGGCTGGTGGAGGCAACGAGCAGATGCTGCTGATGCCTTCTGATATGGGTTGAGGGAATCTGAGAAAATCATGTACAGGAAAGGAGGAAGAGGGGAGAAAGAGACATGGGATAGGCAGGAGGGGGAGACGGTCGATTGGACTCATTGGTTGTAGCCATGGAACAATGCCTTAGTGGTTGTGCTCCTTTCAGCTGCTTGCAAAGGCAGGCATGGTAGTTGAAGTGGTGTTAGATATGCATGCGTGGTTGAAAGAGGCGAGTAGAAGGTGACAGAAACGATATTATGCAGCTACCAAAACAAATGCTCACTGCCTGAATTGCCCAAGAATGCTAGAACGCAAGCTGTAGTTGTACAATACGGCTGGTGCTAGGTTGTAGGAGTTTTGTAGACATGAATGGACCTTGCATGACCGTTGTAGTGTTATTGATGAATAGCTTCTCATTCTCTTTGAGAGCAAAGGTCAACATCCATCTAAAGATGCTTCTCGTTTGCCCTTTCAAACATCTTTTTCGTTTGTATCGAGAGGCATACTACAGCGAGCACAAATTCTCCCACCTTCCATCTCGAGTTCCTCTCATTGTTTCCGAGCAGACAGATCCCGATAATGTCGCTGCCGTCGGAATGTACTCACTGAAGGATTGAGCTCCTGGCGGTCACTTCCCGCCATTTCGAAACACGCGATTCCCTAAGAGTAACCAGACGAGTTTGCATCGTTAGCGTCTGTCTACCCTGTCGCAAATGCGATTCGCACACGATTAGGGCCCTTGCGACTCCCTGCCGCCTTAGATCCTCACGGGCAGCTGGGTCAGGAATGTCGAAGCTTTCGCGTCGCTTGGCCAGCAGGTTTGGACCCGAGTGGACCATCCGCACCGTACGGAAAAAGCAAGACACCAGACTGCACCGCTCTGTGACGTGACCCTATGCCGAGGCCAGCGGCCTCGGAAATAGCTTTGTTCCCTTCCGCGTTCGCGTGCCTGCCTGCTGTGAGTTGCCAGCGCGAATCGCTTAGCAACTCCCCACTGCATAACCAGCAGGTTTGGTTTGAATGGACGAGCCTCACAGTCTGGGCATTGCAAGCAACCGCATTGAACCGATTTGTCGCATCTCCGGAGGTCTCGGCCAGACTCTGGTGGCTTTAGCTTCGTTCCCAAGCCATCCCGCATACTGACAGCGCACAGATTCGTTCCGCCCTTCCCTGCCCGCTGCGTGAGTTCCCAATGCCTCGGCTCTCCTCCACCCTGCCTTGTCGCAGCAACCCTCTCGCTCTCCCTTCGTCGCCTGTGATCGCCTCTCCGAGTTCAAATCCGCACTCTCTCTACTCACTCTCATTAGTCGCTCTCTCTTCTTCGGTTTAAACTCTCCAGCTGAACTTGATCGCCAGTTTCGTACAATCTCGTTACTCTCGAGCCAGCTCCCACAGCTGCAGCATTACTATCCTCGCCAGATCAGAACTCCTAAACGTTCAGCTCTAGCTTCTAGTTTCACACCCGAGGCTGCAACAGCAATCAGTGTATCAAGGTTCGTCCCTGCTAATTCCGCTGCTCGGTTTCGGCCTCACACTTCGGCAGGCCCGTCAGTATCCTCTGTTTAGCGTTCTTCCTCGGATGGCCGTCTCGTCCGTGCGTGCATGCACCTCGTCGTCCGCTGAGTACCCGTCGTTCGCGGAAGCGCTGCGCGCCTGGAGGAGCCGCGAAGCGGTTAAGCCGTCCCGCGCGCAAGTTGAAGTGCCGCTGAGCTGCGCGGCTGCATGCGCGGCGCCTTGTGAGCCAACTGTTGAAGTTGAAGCGACTTCCCAGGCGATTCCCGAGGAGATCTCGACTTGTGAATTGACCCAGCTGCAAGTGACGCTGAGCTCCGCGCCTGCTGCAGAGGAGGAGGAGACGGAGGAGAATCTGACGAGTGACTGCAACCAAACGAGCGCTGGCAGCAACAACAGCAAGGACACCGTTTCTGTCAGCAAGAGCAACGTCACGAGTTGTGAGAAGCACGTGAGGATGTGCAGTGGTGACGCCAGCCCCAACGCACTGCCAGCCTCGCTTGTGCTGCTGCTGCACTCGCTGCTGTTGTTGCTGCAGCTGCACTTGCTGCTCGCGTCACTGCTGCTGCCGCTGCTGAGAGTGGTGCTGCCCTGGTGGATTCCCAAGGCAGGCAGCACAGGAGCGCGTGTGAAGGTGGGTGGTGAGGAGGGGAAGGCATGGAATGCACGTGGTGGTGCTCTAGCCCACCAGAAGCCCACAGCAAGCAGCATGAGGCAGCAGCAGGAGAAAGAGCTCCCTGTGAAGTGCAGAGGGAGGAGGAACGCTGGCAGCACCACCAAGGCAGCAGCTAGACCTTCTTGGAAGGCTTGATTCTGCTGGTGCCGCAGAAGCAAGCACAAGGAATTATGTATCTGTGGAAGTACAGAACAGAAACATCTCCAATGGCTACTGGAGTCTGTGTCTTTTAGATAGCTGGTTGTGTGCAATCTTGTACTACATACTAGGTGTAGTAATGCACGCATGTATATTGGCTGTCAGATTCCTAGACAAATGTATGTTCTTTCTACTCTACGGTACCTTTCAGTCAACACGTTGTGCAGAAGATGAGGTGGCGCTGACTGATTGTCACACAAGTGCGCTTGCGTACCTAGGTGACTAATTGGGACGCAAAACCCAAAAGCACTTTCTTGTGGCATACGGTAATCAGTATACAGTATTTAAAGTGTTGGCACTTTTTATTCGTCCTAAGTTTACTTGCGTATTTGCAATCATTTGAAGTAATCCTAATCGAATGGTCTTGAAGGGTAACTCTACATCGAAGATTACTTTTGCCCACGTCACATCATCGATGTGTAGTTTACGCTGTGAGTCATTGGCGGCGTGGCTGTGCGCGAAATGCGCAAAATGCGCAACGAGGACTGGCTATTGCGATCATGGCTGAAATTCTCGGTGAGCTTCGTATCTTCCGATCAACGATCGGTTTGCTGGGTCTAATTGTAGCGGCCGAGCAGGAAGTGAGAGGTTATGGGGAGCACCGTTAGTCATTAGCTCGACACTTCACCCTTCGCCATGGCGTTCAGAGTTGGTTCGGGAAGGATCTGCCGAGAGCTTTAACGAGGCAGCTGTGGCAGCTGTGGGCAGGGCAAGTGTGGTGGGGGTTGGCTTGCATATGGGAGGATTGAACGAGCGAGGAGGATCTTCAGAGGGTCGAGGATGATGGCCACAGCGCATCGACAGGGTAACGATTTCCTTCTGGACATTCTGGGGTTCAGCGTGTTGCATTTTGCCTCTGTTCTGTAGTCGTTGGTTCTGAGGGAGCTCTGTTCGCGTGCTGCGCAGATCCAATGCCCACGAAGTCGCGAGATGCGGCATCTGCTGAAAGAAGCTGATCGGATCTCCGGTGGATTGCCCTGCTCTCCTCCGAAGGCCCTTTGCTGACCTTGAATATTTTAGGTGAGTGTGCTTGAGGCAAAGGTGGCGAAAGCAGGTGAGGGGGCGAAAGGTGGCGAAAGAAGCTGAGAGGGGGAGAATGGGGGAGAAGGGAGAGGAGAGCTGAATTTGGGGAGGTTGTTCACCATCTGCGACCTGGGCGGCCAGGTGCGAGTGAGGAAGATGTTTGGCATGCGGAATGGAAGTAAAAGGTGGCGAAAGGTGTAAAAGGTTGGGTGGAAGAGGTTGGGAGGGGTAAAAGGTGGCGAAAGCAGCTGAGGGGGTGAGAATGGGGGGAAGGAAGGCACGTGGCACGGATGGCGCGGGGCCACGCTGCTCGCTGCGCACATGGGAAATGGAGAAGCGCGCTTGTCCATCGCTGTGCTGTGCTGTGCTGGCCGCCGCTCGTGCTGTCGGATCGGATGTTTGTGCCCTTGCCGTGTTCGTGCTGCGGCGAGACAGATCAAGGCCTTGGAGCACTGCAGCAGGACTGATTCTCCTCCGCCACGTTCTCGCGTCTTCTCAGCTTCCCACCTGTTGTATCCCTGCCCGTGCGAACATTAGCCCGCCCCAGTCACTGATCTGATCTGACCGTACTCATCAGATCGCCCCAGAGTTGGGTCTTAGTGGTTTGCCGCTGCTTGTGTCACGCGGCGCTCGCGCACTCGCATCGCTGCTGCCACGCACCCCACCTCTCGCGGGCTCCGCCGTCTCCCCCCCGCGCGGCACCTCGCGTGCTTCGCATCGTCCCCGCCGACCCTGCCGCGCCCACTGCCGAGGACGCTTTCCCGTGCGCCGCGGACGCGTCCCCTCATGCGTCGCCCGCCTGGCGCGGAGCGGAGGGCTCTCTTAACGGAGGCGCGAGTAGCGAGCAAGGCAGTGTGGGTGCGGAGAACGCGGGGGGACGCGCAGGGCGCGGAGGGGAGGGCGCGCGGATGTGCGAGGAGTACGTGGCGGCGTGCGCCACCGCCACGCCCACGGCCGCGCTGCGCCCTCCGCCACCATATCCACCGTTTCCGCCGCCTCCTCCGCCTCCTCCGCCTCGCCTGTCTCTCCCGCACAGCCGTGGATCTAGCTGGCTGCCGAGACCAGCAGTGACGTCACCACGGACATCAGCAGTAACGTCAGCGGCGAGACACGCAGCGGCATGAGCGCGAGTGAGCGTCACGAGGCGGCTGTTCGGCTCGCCCATCACCATGGGCTCCCTCCCCTTTCCCCCCCTCAGGCCGTCAATGGGCGCACTATGCTGAGCCGAGTGAGCGTGGCGGCCCATCCCGGGCAGCTGCTCGCACTGGCTGGGCCCTCGGGCAGCGGAAAAACGTCTCTGGTGGACGCCATTGGCTGCCGCATCCACCCCGGCATTCTGTCGGGCTGCATCCTGGTGAATGGCCGTCCCATGCCGCCCAGCTTCTGCAAACACTCCGCCCAGGTGCTGCAGGTGGGTTTTGTGCGGTGCAGATGGGTTTGTGCAGTTGGGTCGCTGGGTGGACTCCAGAAGGGTGGTTGTGGATCCTCTCAGCAAGCATCCTTGCTCTCACTGAATGCCCCAACTTCTCTCCTCCCCCTCCCGTTCCCCCTCTCCCCCCACCACCAGGACAATGCTCTCTTCGCTCGCCCTCCTCTCCGTGCACGGCACTCTCGAGAGGCCCCCCTCTTGAGACACTTGACTTCTCCGTCCGCCTGTGCCTGCCGTCCATCCACCGTGACGCCCGGCCGCAAGGGAGAAGCACAGCGCGTGCAGCAGCTGCAGCAGCAGCTTGGGGGGCTCACCACGTGCACCGACACGCCACGCCCGTGGGGGACCAACGGGTAAGTGGGGAGAGTGGATGGGTGGGTGGGTGGGTGGGTGGGTGGGTGGGTGGGTGGGTGGGTGGGTGGGTGGGTGGGTGGGTGGGTGGGTGGGTGGGTGGGTGGGTGGGTGGGTGGGTGGGTACGTGCCACGTGGTTTGTGTAGGCAGGCTGATAGAGAGTGATTGCTAACCCCTTTGGGGCGCCACACCCCACCCCTCCTCGCCTCGCCTCCACCGCACCATGCCCGCGTGAGCTCCGCTCGTGCACTGCCATGCATGCTAGCTTCTCACTTTCACATCCCATCCCATCCCCCATCATCTCTTCCATCCCCCTCCATCAACCCTGTCTCTTCCATCATCTGTCCGCTCACCCCAATCTTATCATTTCCCCAACCTCACTCCCCCAACCTCTCACCCCACCCTCTCTCCCAACCCTATCTCCCAACCCCCCTCTGCCGCCCCTTCCCCCACAGCAGCACCGGGGGGTGTGAGGGGGCGAGAGGCGGCGCACGTCCATCGTGTCGGAGTGGAGTGGAGTGGAGTGGAGCTCAGCTCATCCGCAACCCCGCCGTGATGCCTGCTGCTCAATGAACCGAACCCACCTCAGGTACGTTGGATACCCTTGTTGCAATGAGGCACACACAGTGCCATCTGTTCCTGCCCTCTCTGCCCTCGCCTCCCTCGCACGTCCATGGGAGTGGAGTGGAGCTCAGCTCATCCACAACCCCCGCCGTGATGCCTACTGCTGGATTTATTCAAAATGATCGGTGGGTGAGTGGGAGTGTGCAAGTGCCGTGAGTGAGATGGTAACGCTGACAGACACACCGCTGCTGCCTCGTGCTGCTGCGCAGCCCCGCCCGCCTGCTCCCCCGACTGCTCCCCCGCCTGCTCCCCCGCCTGCTCCCCCGCCTGCTCTCCCGCCTGCGCACGGGGCAGGGGGCGATGGGCGTGATGATGGGGTGGCTGCAGAGCCGCTTCGCTATGCTCCCTTCGACAACTCCCTTCGACAGCTTTCTACTACAGCTCCCTTCACGCCCTGCCGCTCTTCTACCTCGTGAGACCCCTCCTACCTGCACAATACTTTACTCCTACCTACTAGGCTTCACCGTCGCCCTCGTCATTCTCTTCTACAACTCGGATTCACTGACGCGCTGCCGCTCTTCTACCTCGTGAGACCTCTGCACCTCTTTTGCACGTGCATGCGACTGCGTGTATCTAATACAAACCAACCCATCTCCCCACCCAACGCCCTCTCCCCTCCTGCTCCCCCCCCCCCACCAGAGCGCACCATCCTCACCCAAGACACCTCCCAAACTTCATACCGAGTTGACTTTTGAGTCGACTCAAAAGTCCCTCTCCCTTCCTGCCCCCCCTCTAACCAGAGCGCACCATTTTCACCCTAGACTCCTCCCAAAGCGCATACCGCACAGTCCCCTTTGTTTCTTTGCAATCGCAGTAGTTGCATCACCCACGCTTATCCCACCTCCCACATCCCATCTCCTCACCCCCATCCCATCTCCCCACATCCCATCTCCCCACTCCCATCCCATCTCCCCACTTCCCATCCAACCACATCCCAAATCCCCACTCCCCCCATCCCCTCCGTCCCCCTCTCACACCAGGAGCGAACCATCTTTCACGCGCGAGGCCTAAGAGGCGCCTACCGCACGGCGCCCTACATGCTCGCCACCACGCTCCCCCTCCCCTCCCCCTCCCACACCACGAGCGAACCATCCAAAGAGGTGCCTACCGCACGGCGTCCTGCATGCTCGTCTCGCCACCACGCTCACCACGCTCCCTCTCTTCCTCGCCCTCGCCGCGCCGCTCTACCGGATGGTGGGGCCGCCGCCCTCCGCCTCTGCCTTTGCCTTTGTCGTGTTCATCGCCATCGCCTGTGCCTGGCCTTTGCGGTGCTGAGCGCGTTTGTGACGCTGCTGTGGGCGCACATGGTGGCTGCCACCATGGCCAGCAGCGCCTTCTCCTTCTTCCTCCTCTTCACCGGATTCTTCTTCTCCAAATCACCCTCCTCCACTCACCACCTCTCGCCTCACAGTCTCCCTCCGTGCCGTCTCTCTGCTGCCCTCGCACTGCTGCCCTCGCACTGCTGCCCTCGCACTGCTGCCCTCGCACTGCTGCCCTCGCACTGCTGCCCTCGCACTGCTGCCCTCGCACTGCTGCCCTCGCACTGCTGCCCTCGCACTGCTGCCCTCGCACTGCTGCCCTCGCACTGCTGCCCTCGCACTGCTGCCCTCGCACTGCTGCCCTCGCACTGCTGCCCTCGCACTGCTGCCCTCGCACTGCTGCCCTCGCACTGCTGCCCTCGCACTGCTGCCCTCGCACTGCTGCCCTCGCACTGCTGCCCTCGCACTGCTGCCCTCGCACTGCTGCCCTCGCACTGCTGCCCTCGCACTGCTGCCCTCGCACTGCTGCCCTCGCACTGCTGCCCTCGCACTGCTGCCCTCGCACTGCTGCCCTCGCACTGCTGCCCTCGCACTGCTGCCCTCGCACTGCTGCCCTCGCACTGCTGCCCTCGCACTGCTGCCCTCGCACTGCTGCCCTCGCACTGCTGCCCTCGCACTGCTGCCCTCGCACTGCTGCCCTCGCACTGCTGCCCTCGCACTGCTGCCCTCGCACTGCTGCCCTCGCACTGCTGCCGTCGCACTGCTGCCGTCGCACTGCTGCCGTCGCACTGCTGCCCTCGCACTGCTGCCCTCGCACTGCTGCCCTCGCACTGCTGCCCTCGCACTGCTGCCCTCGCACTGCTGCCCTCGCACTGCTGCCGCCACCACGCTGCGCCTTGCTTTCTATGCCACCACGCCGCCACCACGCTGCGCCTTGCTTTCTATGCCACCACGCCGCCACCACGCTGCGCCTTGCTTTCTATGCCACCACGCCGCCACCACGCTGCGCCTTGCTTTCTATGCCACCACGCCGCCACCACGCTGCCTCCACCAGGATGTCAAGAAGCTAGGCTAGGTTAGGAACCTAGGAGAGTGGCGAGAGAGTGGAATGTCGAGAAAGAAGGGGGGTTCACTATAGGCTCGAGGGTACAAATAGGAGACAAAGGAGGTGCACCACCAATACAAAGAGTTTATAACTACACTAAAGCTACAGCTACAGGCAGGTACATAAATATATATAAATATATATTCTAACACAGGAAGTGATTTATGACACCCCACCACACCACACCACACCCCACCCGTGCCTCGAGGGCCACGCCGTTCCCACTGTCAAATGTTGTAGTCTTAGTGAAGTGTGTTATAGGGGATACAACTGTTAGGGTTAGGTGTATGTACCTTAACCAATCTTAGTCAACACAACACTTTCATTCTTGACACCCACCAGCAAGTGACGACTCTCCGCTTACCACCTCTGCCTTTCTGCTTCTGCCAGTGTAGGCACCCTGCTTTTTGTGCTCGCAAGCCATAATATGTATGCAGATCATGCAAATAGTTTGAGTGTACCTGGTGTGGTAGGATGAGGTATCTTTATAGCGCTATAGCACATCCAGTACGGTATTAAATTCCAACTTCAAATGCAGTTGTCTTTTTAGCGCGTATGCTCTCCTCACACAAGTCGCTTGCCCTAGCACAGCATGTGCATTGTGCATCCTCAGCAGAGCACCACCGTCCCAGAAGGTGGAGTGAATCAAATCCTGAGCTCACTGAATCCAGGTGACAAAAATCCAAGGCCTGAGTTGAGCCACTAGAGGCTCTCGTTGAAAGTCTCCTCTCTTCTCTACTGGTCGGTAGTAAGTAATCCGCACCACACCACAGGTTCAAGTGAAACTCCATAAACACACGCTGAGTCTCAAGCAGTTGCACAAGCTAGCTGCAAATGCAGTACCGGCAGGTGCATTCAACACGGTATGCAAGACTTGAAGTTGGTACAGCAGTGCACACTCTGCACTGCACTGCACACCCACAACTGAGCTCCAATCCAAATCTTCAAACACGTTAGCAAAGCAAGACACACCAACTCGCCTCTCATCTCAACCTCAATTTCCCCCCCCTCAATGGTCCCCCCAGCCACTGCCATAGCCCCGTCTCCCCCCGCCTGCCTTGTCATCATACCCTCGCGATCCTCCTCCCCCGCCATCCCCCCCATACCCCCCATACCCTCCCCCATAGCTCCCCCCTCCCCCCCCATACCCACCGCCATCGCCACCATACCCCCCACCACCGCCACCATACCCACCCCCGCTGCTGCTCCTGCCGTACCCACCCCCGCCTCCGCCGTACCCGCCGCCGCCGCCGAAGCTGGAGGATCGGCCGTACGAGGAGCCTTTGGGGCACTCGCGTGCGAAGTGCCCCTCCTCCCCACAGTTGTAGCACCCACCTCCCCCGCCCCCCCTGCTGCCGTACCCCCCTGAGCGCGACCCTGCACCCCCAGGGGCGTTGGGACACTCGCGGGAGAAGTGACCCACCTGGGGGGGGGGGAGGCGGAGGGGTGGTGGGGGTAGGAGGGACAGGGAGGGAAAGGAAGGGGCGGGGAAGGGGGGGCGTGACAGTTGAGTGTTTAAGGGGGCTGGGCTTTGGGCACAATGGTTGGGAGCGCAAGGAGCGAGGGCGCTCACTAGGGGCGTGTGGTGCAGAGCGGTGATGGCATGGCACGGGTGGGGCATATAGCCGGGGCGAGTAGCGTGGGTGGGGGGGGGGGGCATGGGTTGGGGCGAGGACGAGTGTGGGGGAACGACAAGGAATGGAGCAGCGAGATGGCAGCAGGGATGGGGTGAAGAGGCGAACGCAGTGGTGGTGCCATGGCAAGGGTTAAGGGTATGGCATAAGTGGGCTGAGGCCACGCGACGAGAGCAGAGCGCAGCGGAGAAGAGAGAGCGCAGAGGTTGCCACAGCGCTCCAGTGAGTCTCAACAGGATTTAGAATTCTTCAGCACCAGTAAAAACAGGATAATAGGCAGCTCTCACAGCACCCCTTAGCTCACAGCACCCCTTAGCTCACAGCACCCTTTAGCTCACAGCACCCCTTAGCTCACAGCACCCCTTAGCTCACAGCACCCCTTAGCTCACAGCACCCCTTAGCTCACAGCACCCCTTAGCTCACAGCACCCCTTAGCTCACAGCACCCCTTAGCTCACAGCACCCCTTAGCTCACAGCACCCCTTAGCTCACAGCACCCCTTAGCTCACAGCACCCCTTAGCTCACAGCACCCCTTAGCTCACAGCACCCCTTAGCTCACAGCACCCCTTAGCTCACAGCACCCCTTAGCTCACAGCACCCCTTAGCTCACAGCACCCCTTAGCTCACAGCACCCCTTAGCTCACAGCACCCCTTAGCTCACAGCACCCCTTAGCTCACAGCACCCCTTAGCTCACAGCACCCCTTAGCTCACAGCACCCCTTAGCTCACAGCACCCCTTAGCTCACAGCACCCCTTAGCTCACAGCACCCCTTAGCTCACAGCACCCCTTAGCTCACAGCACCCCTTAGCTCACAGCACCCCTTAGCTCACAGCACCCCTTAGCTCACAGCACCCCTTAGCTCACAGCACCCCTTAGCTCACAGCACCCCTTAGCTCACAGCACCCCTTAGCTCACAGCACCCCTTAGCTCACAGCACCCCTTAGCTCACAGCACCCCTTAGCTCACAGCACCCCTTAGCTCACAGCACCCCTTAGCTCACAGCACCCCTTAGCTCACAGCACCCCTTAGCTCACAGCACCCCTTAGCTCACAGCACCCCTTAGCTCACAGCACCCCTTAGCTCACAGCACCCCTTAGCTCACAGCACCCCTTAGCTCACAGCGCCCCTTAGCTCACAGCACCCCTTAGCTCACAGCACCCCTTAGCTCACAGCACCCCTTAGCTCACAGCACCCCTTAGCTCACAGCACCCCTTAGCTCACAGCACCCCTTAGCTCACAGCACCCCTTAGCTCACAGCACCCCTTAGCTCACAGCACCCCTTAGCTCACAGCACCCCTTAGCTCACAGCACCCCTTAGCTCACAGCACCCCTTAGCTCACAGCACCCCTTAGCTCACAGCACCCCTTAGCTCACAGCACCCCTTAGCTCACAGCACCCCTTAGCTCACAGCACCCCTTAGCTCACAGCACCCCTTAGCTCACAGCACCCCTTAGCTCACAGCACCCCTTAGCTCACAGCACCCCTTAGCTCACAGCACCCCTTAGCTCACAGCACCCCTTAGCTCACAGCACCCCTTAGCTCACAGCACCCCTTAGCTCACAGCACCCCTTAGCTCACAGCACCCCTTAGCTCACAGCACCCCTTAGCTCACAGCACCCCTTAGCTCACAGCACCCCTTAGCTCACAGCACCCCTTAGCTCACAGCACCCCTTAGCTCACAGCACCCCTTAGCTCACAGCACCCCTTAGCTCACAGCACCCCTTAGCTCACAGCACCCCTTAGCTCACAGCACCCCTTAGCTCACAGCACCCCTTAGCTCACAGCACCCCTTAGCTCACAGCACCCCTTAGCTCACAGCACCCCTTAGCTCACAGCACCCCTTAGCTCACAGCACCCCTTAGCTCACAGCACCCCTTAGCTCACAGCACCCCTTAGCTCACAGCACCCCTTAGCTCACAGCACCCCTTAGCTCACAGCACCCCATCACCGCACAGCACCCCTCTAGCTCACCTCGCCACAGTTGTAGCACGCGCCTCCGCCTCCGCCACCTCCTCTCCGCCCTCCTCTCCCGCCCCACGCATCCCCATAGCTCCCCGCGCCCCCATGCTCCCCCCCCTGCCCCTCCCTCCCCCGCCTCCCCCCAAATCCCCCGCCGTATGACTCCGGGGCAGCGTGCGCATGCCCCCCACCCCCTGCTGCTCCCCCCGCCCCTCCCCGCTCCGCTCCGCGCCTGACCCCCCCTCCCCCTCCGGCTGATTGCTTCTCCAGCGCCATTTTCTGCGCGGCGAGAGGGGGAAGGGGGTTCCGCGGAGAGCGAGGAGGCAAAGGAGAAGTGGACAGAGGGGCGGGGAGGATGGCCGGGGGCGGGGAGAGGGGGGGAAGCGCAATGAGGAGCGCAGCAGCATGGGCATGGTGGCGTGGTGATGCGGCGAGGTGAGTACTGCTTGTGGGCGGAGATAGAGGTGGGGGAAAGAAAACAGGGCAGTGGAGAGGGGAGGGGAGGGTGGGGGGAAGGGAGGGAAAAAGGGAGGGAGGAAAAGAAGGGAGGGAGGGAGGAGGTAGAGAGGGAGGGCGGGAGGGGAGAGAGGGAAGCAAGCAGGTGTCGCCGCAAATGGGGATACCTCAAAAAACCACCAAACATCTCACCTCTCACTCCTCACGACGCGAGCGAGGGGGGGGGAGGGAGTGAGGGACGAGGGGAGAAGGGAGAGACGAGACCTCCAACAGCGCCACACCTCGCACCTCCAACAGCGGCTCACCGCCACACCTCTGTTGGAGTTGCTTTGAAGAATTCTCAAAAGCACCGCCACACCTCTCGCCTCTCGCCGCCCTCTCTCGCACCGCTCACCTCGAACGACGCGAGCAGGTCGTGCAGCGTGGCCTCGCGCGCCTTCACCTCGCCCTCCAGCTCCGCGCGCCGCGCCTCGTCGCCCGCCGGCGCGCGCGCCAGCTCGTCGCGCGCGAACGCCAGCTCCGCCTCCGCCGCCTTCTGCTCCTCCTTCTGCGCCTCCGACAGCACCACCTGGGGGGAGAGGGGGAGGGGAGGAACAGGGGAAAGGGGAGAAAGGCGGGGAAAGGTGGGGTGCGGGGAAGGGTGGGGTGCGGGGAAGGGGAAGGGATGTGGGTGCGGGTGAGTGGGGAGGCGAGGAGAGAGGTGCGGCATGGATCCCCGGCAGAAGGGACGAACGCGCTCGCTGAGCAACGCTCCTCCTCGCCGTCTCGCTCACACCCCCCCCCTTTTCAACGCTGTAACCCATATCTTCCTTTCCCGTTCCACTTTCCGTCACTTCCTTATCCCCCCGTGCTCGATGTAACAAGTATTTTCAAGGTTCGTTTTTCATAGACCGTGACTTGCATCGGTAGGGATCTTGTGTGAAACGAGCAAACCGAGCCTCATATAAAACTGCTAACTCCTACGAGTCTTGGATCGCGTCGAGCTATAACTAGTCCGTCAGCATGCGCCCGCTCGCTGTGGGGCGCAAACTAATCTCCGTGCAAATCAAGACGCGACTCAGCGCGGGGCGAACCAAGGCGCGACTCACCGTGGGGCGAATCAAGCACGCGACTCACCGTGGGGCGAACCAAGACGCGACTCACCGTGGGGCGAACCAAGGCGCGACTCACCGTGGGGCGCCACTCTTTGGACGCGAGCTCGCGCAGCAGGTCCGCCTCCGTGACGCCCTTGCGCTCCGCTATCACCTGCTCGCGCGGCCGCGCCGCCCCGAACGGATTCGGCTGCGCCGCACGCGTGGGGAAGGAGCACGGGGAAGAGGAGGGGGGAAGGGGGGAGGGGGGGAACACAGGAAGCATACGGTGGGGAGGACGCGGAGAGATGGAAGAGGACAACGACGAATAGGCGACGGCGAGACGGATGTTGATGGTGAGCGGAGAGTTGACGGCGACGGATGAAGGAAGAAAGGCGACGGCAGCCCGCGGAGCGACTGCTACGGGGAGAGCGCGCGGGCGAGAGGGAGAAGGCGGGAGCGAGAAGGCGGGAGCGAGAAGGCGGGAGCGAGAAGGCGGGAGCGAGAAGGCGGGAGCGAGTGGGCGAGAGCGGGAGCGAGGGGTCACCTTAGAAGGGCGTGCCGCGGCGGTGGCCCCGGGCGACGACAGCGCGTGCGAAGAGGACGACGCGGTCGACGGAGGCTGCACGCTCACGCCGGGCCGCTCCGCGCCGCTGACGTCAGCACCATCCCTGCCTGCCTGCCCTGCCATATCCCCGTGGGAAACCTCCCTCGCTAACCGACAGAATCCTTCGAATCAACGAGATGGATAGTTTAAATTTGTTTGGTTAAAAAGAAACTAGGAAGCAAAACTGCGGTCGAACAGAAGTCAAGCTAACGGAATGGGAAAGAAACCTTGGAAGAGGGAAAAGCAGCGAGGACTATCGCTGGAATTGTGTGGGTCAGTCGTACATTCACAGTTCATGCTTCGTGGCTCAGGACGATATTAGACGGTGGAAATCGGTTTCCAAGGTAACTGGTTCGCACCGTGACGCAACGAACTGGACCGCAGAGAGGTACGACGTACGTCGTGACCCCTCCCGAGGAGGGGTCAAGGTCGAGGCCCAAGGGAGCCTTCCCCGAGTCCAGTCAGGGATGTGACTCGAATTTGGAGACTCGAAAAATCACCAATCTCGATACCGACGCTGCCCGCATGCTGGATTGGGGATTAGCTGAGGGCCCGTTCCTGGCGCGTGTCAAGCTTCCGGTCATCCGCGGATGACCGGAAGTTAGACCCACTTTGGGTCATCCGAGACCAACTTCGGGTCTTCCGGCCAAAAATTGCCCCTGTTTCCGGAAAACACAGTGTTTGACAGAAACTTTAACCCAAAGCTTCGGGTCTTCCCGGGAAGGCCCGAAGCTTGACACCAGCCAGGAACGCACCCTGAGCTACTCGCGGGTCCGCGCTGGGCGGGGACACGCTGCCACCGCGGGCCGTGTTAGCCACGCTGGCTGAAGTTCGCAGCGTGGTTGAGTAGAATAATTTGCTGACGTGGATAACTGCCCTGCTGGAAGCTGAGACGGAACGGAGTGGATCTGGGGTCCCACCCGCCCACCCACAACAAATATCTGGAGGAGATGGTAGATTACAAGCAAACCTGATATTATTGAGTACTTGTTTGAAGGTATAACTGCTGCTCATTGCCAGTTTCACTAATGTTATGAGCAGTAATGAAAAGAGTGCGTAGGGTTCAATAACGTGGAAATGAATATGACTACTGAGCGAATAATAAAGCCTGGCACTAACATAGCTATGCTAGCTAGGCCGAAGTCGCGGAGTCGCGAGATGGTCGGGTGCAGGTTCGGGGTTGGAAAACCCGAATGTTACGAATGGTGATGAATGTGTTGGAAACCAGTAACTTAAGCGCTTCTGATGTGTCGAAATACTTAATCGTAAATGAAGCGATCTACAACGAAGCATCTGTGAGTCAACCGAGGAGGTTGACAGAAAAGTAACAGCCGGAGGTTACGCGAAGGTCAAAGGTCGCTGACCTTTGACTCGACAAATACAGCGCGACAGCAAGGACAAACAACTGACTCGCTATTGAGCAGTTGCCCGAGTCGTCACTGTATCGAACCGCAACAGCAATAGTAAAACCGTTATTTGCACCCTTTGATATTCCTTGTAATCTTATAAAAAGCTTGTACCTTCTTTCTACAATTAATCTATCTTGCCCTCACATACCAGCGCAAGGTGGTTCAACAATCTTCATTAAACGCTTCCGCTATTACAACACTTCTACTCAAAATTTAGCCTTGTAAAGATCCTAAGGGCTTTTCTCAGCCCAACATGGTATGAGAGCAGTAAAGGCAAATTCGACTACAATGAAGTTCCCTACAACATCAGAAGGCATGGCAATTCAGAAGGAGAGAAGCTCCTCTAACGGCTCTCTAGGCACTACCCCTACTCCACCTCCTGCCTCTGGCCTACAGACAGAGGAGGGTACGGCAACAAGACCAGCAGCGAGGTCTACCGAAACTCACGCGAATCAAGCTGCAGGCTTCGACCCAAGCATGATGGAGAAGTTTTTCTCCTTCATGTCCTTCTACGAACAACACCAGCAAGCGGCACCTGCGCAGTCAAACAACAGCAACAACAACAACGAAGTTGCACCCATGAGTCTCGACTGTCAAACATATATGCTACATATTGTCTAGGCTGTAGTGGGGTAGCCCATATAGGGTACAACCCAATTAGGGTTTACTACTTGTACTCCTGCATGCTGCTAGTTCATTCATTCCTGCTGCTAGATTCTAACATGGTATCAGAGCACTAAGGTCCGTAGGACCGTTTTTTTTCGGGCCCACCTACCGCTGCGGTTACCGCGCTACCCCACGTACCTGCCTGCCTTGCCTTGCCTTGTGACGTGCTGCACTACGCGCGCCGTCCAGCAGCCCTAGCGCTGCCTCCTGCTGCCCTAGGCCAGCGCGCTGCCCCTAGAGGCCCGTAAGGCCCGCGCGCCGCCCCTACACGCCCTTCAGGCCCGCGAACAGCCCCTGCAGACCGTTAGGCCCCTTGCTGCCGCGCGCTGCCCGCACCGAGCCGCGCGCAGCCCGCTGCTGCCGCGCGCTGCCCGCACCGAGCCCGCGCAGCCCGCACCGAGCCGCGCGCAGCCCGCTGCAGCCGCGCGCAGCCCGCTGCAGCCGCGCGCAGCCCGCAGCCGCGCGCAGCCCGCACCGAGCCGCGCGCAGCCCGCTGCTGCCGCGCGCAGCCCGCGCCGAGCCCACGCAGCCCGCGTCGAGCCGCGCGCGGCCTGCTACGGCCTCGCGAGGCCCGCGCGCGGCCCGCAACAGCCCGCGCCGAGCCGCGCGCGGCCTGCTACTGCCTCGCGCGGCCCGCAGCAGCCCGCGCCGAGCCGCGCGCGGCCCGCTACTGCCTAGCGCGGCCGCGCGCGGCCTGCAGCAGCTCAGCGTACTGAAAGCGCAGCCCGCGCCGAGCCGCGCGCGGCCCTCTGCCTCGGCCCCGACCTGCCGCTGATGCGGCCCCACCCTGCGACTGCCGCTGAAGCGGCCCCGCCCTGCAGCTGCTTCGGCCCTGCTCTGCAGCCGGTGTTGCGGCCCCGACGTCGCCGCTGTCGTGCGCCTACTCGGCCGCCGCCCGTCGAGCGCCGGCCCTGCTCGCCCGGTGAGCGCCTGCTCTCCCAGCCTTTGGTGAGCGCCTGCCTGCCTGCCTGCCTGCCTGCCTGCCTACCTGCCTGCCTGCCTGCCTGCCTGGCTGCCTGCCTGCCTGCCGGCCTGCCTGCCTGCCTGCCTGCGCGCCTGCCTGCCTGCCTGCCGGCCTGCCTGCCTGCCTGCCTGCCTGCCTGCCGGCCTGCCTGTCTGCCTGCCTGCCTGCCTGCCTGCCTGCCTGCCTGTCTGCCTGCCGGCCTGCCTGTCTGTCTGCCTGCCTGCCTGCCTGTCTGTCTGCCTGCCTGCCGCGCCTGCCCTGCCCGCGCTACTGCTGCTGCTACTGCTACTGGCAGGTGGCCAGATGCAGCTCCAGCGACGTTCACGCGAGCCTCTCACGCCCCAGCAGCTTAGTGAGTGGTATACTAGCTGGGGTTGTCGCGGTAGCCGTCGTAGCTGTCGCCCTGGAGCTGGTCAGTTGGGAGCGTCTGGCAGTGGCCAGCTGCAGCTGCAGCGGCGTCCACGCGAGACACTTACGCTCCAGCAGCTCCATGAGTGGTACGCTCAGTGTAGCAGGTCTATGCGTACAGTTCGCTGCCCGTACGTCATTCGCACAGGTGCTAGGACTGGTCAGCCTTGTGGGACGCTTGGTCACACACAGTCCCGCTGCTTCGCCCGTCTGAGCGACGACTGGCGCACAGTGTTTGGCGACGAGGCTGAGCTCCCCACCTGGCTGGAGCTGCATGGACAGAGGGTAGATATCTTTGCGCTTGACTATGATGCTATTCTCACTGCCATGTATGCATTGTCTACTAGTGCTGACCGTGCCTGTTACCTGTGCGTACCGCCTGACCCTGGTATAGAGCCTGCTGCTCTCGGTGCTGGTGAGGCTGCTGCTCTAGGTGCTTGTGCGTCTGCTGCTCTAGGTGCTGGTGAGGCTGCTGCTCTCGGTGCTAGTACGTCTTCTGCTCTAGGTACTGGTGAGGCCGTGGCTTCAGGTGCTGGTGAGTCTGCTCTCTCTGGTACTGCGCCCACTGCGGTCTCGCACACCTTCACCCTTGACTCAAGAGCTTCCCGCTCCTTCTTTCGCGACTGCACCACACTCACGCCGCTTAGTCGGCCAGTTCCAGTCTCCCTGGCGGACCCCTCCGGGGGTCCAGTCCTTGCCCACTACTCCACGGTTCTGCCGTGTCCGGCCGCCCCGTCTGGCTCGCTGTCAGGTCTTTACCTCCCCTCGTTCTCTACAAACTTGGTGAGTGGTGCTGACCTCCAGGATCGGGGGGTTGACCAGTTCACTCCTGCGAGTCAGCGAGTGACTCACTGTACGTGTGCTAGGACGGGCCGACACTTGGCCACGTTCACCCGTGCACCTGGCTCGAGTCTGTACACACTGACCACTGAGTCCCCTCAGGTGGCTGCGTCTGCGTCTACGTCTGGTCAGCTAGCGGCCCCCTGCGAGTGTCGCGCTTTGTCGCACGACACTCTCCTGTGGCACCACCGCCTTGGTCACCCCTCCTTGCCTCGCCTTCGTCGCATGCACTCTCGCTCCCTGGTCTCTGGCCTTCCCAGGTCTCTGCCTGCCCTCCCTCCCTCGCCTGCGCCGCCCTGCATTCCTTGCGTCGAGGGGCGGCAGCGCGCCGCTCCTCACTCCTCCTCGTTCCCTCCCACAGAGGCTCCGCTGCAGACGCTCCACCTGGACGTGTGGGGCCCAGCCCGCGTCCAGGGACAGGGCCGCGAGCGGTACTTCCTGCTGGTTGTCGACGACTACACGCGTTACACCACGGTCTTCCCCTTGCGCAGCAAGGCGGATGTCCCTGCTGTTTTGAGGGTTGCTCGTCTCCAGCTCCACGACCGGTTCCAGTCGGACTTTCCTGTCCTGCGTCTGCACTCTGACAGAGGTGGTGAGTTCTCCTCAGACCTCTTGGCAGCCTACTATGCGGAGCACGGCATCACCCAGTCGTTCACGCTTCCGGCTTCTCCGCAGCAAAATGTGGTTGCTGAGCGTCGCATTGGCTTAGTCATGGAGGTCGCTCGTACCTCCATGATCCATGCGGCTGCCCCCCATTTTCTGTGGCCGTTTGCGGTCCGGTACGCCACGCATCAGCT